TGCGATAGGGGTAGAGAAGGGAAGGCAAGTATTGGATGTCACGGGGGCGGGGTTTAAAGCGTGCATTGTAAAAAAAATCACAGGTTCACTTTAAAGGACAGCTTGTGCTAAGAGGTGTATGTAAGCCGCCATTGGTGGAAAATGCTTGTTGCCTGGGTGTCAGGCTGATCCAACGGCTTTATGCTTTGACTGACCTGGAACAAGTATGCAGATACAGAGGTTCAGATTGTTGGGAGGTGCGCTGTGCCTGTGCTGCCCCCCCGCCTGCCCGCTACTGACCCTCTCTGATATAAACTTAACCCCTTGATTTCTTACATCTGCACCAGAATCCTCATCGTTGGTGATTAACCTTTCCCGCACCGAACAATGCCACAATCTGCTCTTCGGACATGCTCTGAAGGCTCCTCCTGAATGATTGGGAAATGTAGGGATCTGACTGGATTATGAATCCATGATCCCGCCTCGGATGATTCGTGTTGAATATATTGCACAGCACATGAACCCCAGAAATGTCATCACCTCGTAGCCAACTACTGCCGCCATGCCGGCCGATCGCCTACGACCAGACAGCGCGCGTACCTGCCATCAATGGCTCATTGCCCGAAGGATCAACGCTCAGCCAATCGCTGAAAGGTGAACCCCGGTCAGTTCACTGCCCTGTATGCATGCCTCAACCCTGTGTGCGTCCTGACCACCTCATCCAGGGCCTGAAACATGTGAGCGGGGTAAGAGGACCTTGCATTAAATATTAATAGATCGCTTTGTGGCAGGCCGATCCCCCGAGCCCTGAGCTAGGTAATGGAAGGCTGTATTGTGGGTCCGCACTGCCTGCTGCTAATTGCATCTTGGCAAATCTCCCTACCTATGGAGGCCACCATTGCTGAAAATTCTAGTTCCCTGGGTTCCACCAGCACACCTTCTAGAGCCTTAGTTCTCTACTGGTGGGTTGTGACCCGGTGTCCAGTGGGTCTCCACATGCCTTCCACTTTTCTAGGTGAGAGGCTCCCCTGCCTCCTCCCAGCGCAGCGCTGTCAGTTCTTACACCGAGCAGCAGGGGCGTCCCGAGGCTGGGTGAGACGTCACTGCGCATGCGCGTCAGTATTCTGATATCTGCCGGCGGCCATCTTGGTGATGGACCGCGGCAGAGAGAGGAGGGGACAGTCCCCCGGCGGGATGAGGTATGCCGGCCGGGTCCCCTCCTCTCTCCTGATACTGTCGGGGCGTTCGGTCCATGACTTTTCAGAGGGGGGTGACACCACTGCGAGTCATTTTGGTGTCACCCCTCCAATGGTGTCACCCCGGTGCGGGCCGCACCCTCCTTGTGACGCCACTGCCGAGCAGCCATTCAAAATATGCCGCCCGGCGCCGAGTGCCAGCTTGAGGTGGGGTGGGCTGGGGGTATGGCCGCCAGGGAGCTCCATCCATATGTACATTTCTTACAGCTCCCTCCTGTGCCCTGTAGAGATTCCTGGACCGGAGTGACGATACATTCTGGCTCCCGGCACCTCTACAGGGCACAGGAGGGAGCTGTACCAGCAATGGAGCTCCGTCGCAGCACAGCAGCCCAGCACTGCCGGCATTCCATTGCAGTGCGACTTAATGACCGAGGACTAATGTGGGCAGTGAGGTTACACAAGTTGAGAACCACTGCTCTAGATCACAAGCCTGGAACAAGCATGCAGCAAGTGAAATAACACTGGCATACTTTTTCCCGGGTAAGTACTGTAGCCAAGGCATCTGCACCATAGCCTACGTATCTATCTCCGTGCAGGTTTCCCATTAGTTCCTGGTGTTCTTCTGCACGCCACATCACCGATCTTCTTCCTCCTCTTCACGGCTCGCACATACGGCTCCGGAGGGAAGTGACAAGAGAGCCCGGCTTAGGACTGAATTGTGAGCAATAAGGGTGAGCCAGCTGGATCTGGCCATGAGGAAGTGGGAGGCCTATTCTCCTCCCCCGAAACGTGTCGGCTGCACACGGCGCTCTCATCGTTGTAAAAGGAATCATCGAGTCACATGACTGTACTCGGCGTTCTGATCCCCAAGGCCCGAGGGAACGAAGTACCAGGAAGCCGTCTCATCTCAGGCCACCCAACCGCTCTGATTTGCCGAGATGCTATTAGAAGAATGCACTGCTCCCCAGGAGGGTGTGGCCCCCGACATCTCTTGTGTTTTATTAAAGTGGATCTCCAGCCAAAACCTTTAGATATAGTGGGGGGGGAGGGGAGACGTTCTGTCTTTGCTGCTCTTCAGAAGATTTCCCCTCACTTCCTGCCAGCGGGGAGACGTCACACACAAGCTTTTCCCTTGACAGAAGGAAGTCTAGAAGCTCCGTCAGCTTTTGTTACGGATGCCTTCACCCCTGTCGGAAATGTTCCCTTACTTCCTGCCCCGGGTGACACCGCTGTCAATGGGACAGGAAGTGAGAGGAAATCTTCCCCCCCAACGAGGCAATAAAACCCGAAACGAGGTTCTTACACAAGGTTCGGGGCAGGTCCTGATGTGAATTGGCTGTGTGTGTATAGTAGGCGTGCACACGGGACCAAAATCCGTTTTGTTTTTCGGGATTCGGGTCTGAAATTCGTTTCGGAATTCGGAAAAGTTCGTTAGCGGGAGTCCGGACCAACGTTCGTTGCAGCAAAAAATTACATTTTTTTGCCAGCTGTCACTCACGCAGCTGGGCGGATCCAGACATAATTATCGGGATCCACTTCAGCTGCGGCGCCTCAGTATACCGCGACCTGTAGCTCTCTATATACTGAGCTTAGAGTGACGGGAGGACGCTAGTTTGTGTCCTCCCATTACCCTAAGGAGAACTATGGGGAAAAGAGCTAACCCCATAGATCTCCTTTAACCCTTTAGTGACTGGGTAGGGATACAAGTACCCCTTACTCATTCACAAGGGAGGAGGGGGCGGCATCTGGGTGCCCCCTTTTTTGATAAACCCCCCCCCACTGTATATAAGGAGGGGGAGATTTTAATTTGGCTGGGGTTCGGCTCTAAAAACACGAGTTCTACCCAAAGCCAAACCGACCTTCTTATGTCTATGTAATGGTGAGGATACCCCACAGTGGTCTGTGTCTCTGCCCCTCCTACAGGGCCTAAAACAATCATCGGGAACCATAAATGGAAATTGCCTTAAAGGATATCTCCCCCGAGGGATCTAAGAAGCAAGCCCGGGGATTCAACTTGCCATAAAACCCACAAAAAACTGGACTATCTTTCATTTTTGGGTTGGAAAAGCCATTTGACGTTAATCTGCCCCCTACGTGCTGTACTCTGTTTTTCCCGCCATCGAGATTTCTAGCATCCAAAGTGTGTAAAAATATAACTGTGGAAAAGAAAAAAAAAAAGCAATTAAAGTAGACCTCTGTTAAAATACAACTCCACATCGGCCGCCAACTCTCCATGTGGGCCGCCAACTCTCCATGAGACCACCAGTTCTCCATGTGAGCCGCCAACTCTCCATGTGGCCAACAGCTCCCCACATGGGCCGCCAACTCTCCACATAGGCTGCCAACTCTCCATGTGAGCCGTTAACTCTCCACATGGGCCACCAACTCTCCATGTGAGCCGCCAACTCTCCATGTGGGCCGCCAACTCTCCATGTGGGCCGCCAACTCTCCATGTGGGTCGCCAACTCTCCATGTGTTTCGTCAATTCTCCACATGACCACCAACTCTCCACATGACTGCCAATTCTCCATGTGGCAAACCAACTCTCCACATGGCCTCCAACTCTCCACATGACCCCCAACTCTCCACATGGCAGCCTACTCTCCACATGGCCGCCATCTCTCCACATGGCCGTCATCTCTCCACATGGCCGCCATCTCTCCACATGGCCGCCATCTCTCCACATGGCCGCCAACTCTCCATGGCCACCAACTCTCCAAATGGCCGCCATCTCTCCAAATGGCCGCCAACTCTCCATGGCCACAACCTCTTTACATGGACCGTCAACTCTCCCCATGGCCGCCATCTTGCCCCAGGTTTATTAGCTTTTCGCATTGTGGAAGCCGCATGTTCTCTCGTACAAAAGTATATATATATATATTTATTTATCTAGATTTCTGTGTATTTGTTTGGAGAAAAAATAGAGGACTGTCAGAGAAGATTTCTGTCCTGCAAAGCACCGACGTGCCCTAGATCTTTTTACTGCCCAGCCTTAAGTCTTCCACCTCACCTGCGAACTCGTCATGTAAAGCAAAATAAAGGAAGTTTGGTGGTCCAGCAGCGGTGAGGACGGTGCACGCAGGTGGTGGAAAGGAAATTCCCGGCAGACACTTAAAATAGAAATGGTTGAAATTTTTTGTGTATATATATTATTATTTTTTTAAACCTTTTTTTCATATTTTTTTTTTTCTGCTTTTGTCAGTTTTTGTTTTTTTTCTCCTCCAAATATAATGAAATATATTGCACTCTCGTCGCATCCCGCTCACTACACGGGCGGGAAATTATCACAGTAAACTAGCAGAGAGTCGTCCGTCCCTTGCAGCGGAGCTCCGGATGTTCGGTGACCCGGCGCCGTTGGCTTTTTTTTCTTAGTCTGTGCTCATCTTGTAGGCCCCCTCCGACCAAAGGCTCCCGAATAAAAAAAGTGTCGTCTACCCTGAATGTTGCGTCGTGAACGTCTACAGCGTCTAAATCGATGGGTCATCGGGGGAGTCTGTCCCGTTGGGTCTGCTAAATCCCACGTGGTGAATGTCCTCCACCGAGACCATCGGCCTTCGCCCCCCCCCCCCCCCGGGAGCCCCGCCGGCTTTTTTAAGCTGAAAACTTTTTTTTTTTAAAAAGGCAACTTTAGAGATAAAATAAAGTGTGTTCTGTATTCGTCTCTTCACGTCTGTTGTCTTCCTGGGTGGTTTTAGGGTAAGCTCCGGAGAAGGACCTCTGGGCTTGGTGGCGTCAGTCTGCTCGGACTTCGTGGTGGGTGTCTGGGAGATTGCTGCTTGACCGTACACGTTGGGCTCATCAAGAGTTCTCCACCACCTGGTGGGGCAGAGTGACGGACGAGCCGTTGATGAAAGAGCCTTGCTTGTCCCGTCCTTTCAGGAAAAAGGTCAGCAGCTCGCCTTTGCCTTTCACGTAGATCGGGCCCCTTCTCACGAAGCGGAAGCCGTACTCCTTCAGGATGTCGTGTGTGTCCTCTACAACCTGCAAAGAAAGATATGAAGAGTTAGAATCGGGGATTGACTACTGGCCATCGGGCCCCACAGTACAATTCTGATTGCTGCCACAGCCACCACCACAGCCACCACCACAACAACTACCACAACAACTACCACAACAACTACCACAACAACTACCACAACAACTACCACCACCACCACCTTCCCCAGGGTTTTTCCTAGAGCTGGCTTGGAGTTGTGGAGGGCGACAAATATACACCGCTAAGAAATACTCCTTACTGCACAGAGAAAGAACAGAGGATCCGTGACTACTGGTCATCCTAAAGACTCCTCATGTGTGTCTGATATCAGCTCCTCTAGAATGGGGACTATACGGGAGGTACAAGGTCAATGGTCAACCTCTCAGGCTCCTAATAATACCGTCCTGGAAGTGTGTTATCTTCACATACAGATTTTCTATGTTAAATTTCCCTCAAAACCTCACTAATGGGGCCCCCCTACAAGCCCTCAGCCTTGAGCAAGCAGTAGGCTGGCTCTGGGAGGAGTTATGCAAAAACAAAAAAACCTTGATGGGTGGTCTGGAGCAGTGGGTGTTCCTAGGCAGGCTGCATTTGCACGCAGTTCACCCTCATGTGATGCTAAGCTTCTACACCATAACCTGTATGTTTCCAATGACTCCAGTGGGCCGACTCTACCCATACCCGTGTATTCCCCATGACTCTACCCATACCCGTGTATTCCCAATGACTCTACCCATATCCGTGTATTCCCCATGACTCTACCCATACCCGTGTATTCCCCATGACTCTACCCATATCCGTGTATTCCCAATGACTCTACCCATACCCGTGTATTCCCCATGACTCTACCCATACCCGTGTATTCCCCATGACTCTACCCATACCCGTGTATTCACCATGACTCCAGTGGATTGATTCTACCCATACCCGTTTATTCACCATGACTCCAGTGGATTGATTCTACCCATACCCGTTTATTCACCATGACTCCAGTGGAATGACTCTACCCATACCGTGTATTCCCCATGAGCCCAGTGGGCTGACGCTACCCATACCCGTGTATTCCCCATGACTCCAGCGAGCTGACTCTACCCATACCCGTGTATTCCCCATGACTCCAGTGGAATGACTCTACCCATACCCGTGTATTCCCCATGAGCCCAGTGGGCTGACGCTACCCATACCCGTGTATTCCCCATGACTCCAGTGGGCTGACGCTACCCATACCCGTGTATTCCCCATGACTTCAGTGGGCTGACGCTACCCATACCCGTGTATTCCCCATGACTCCAGTGGATTGATTCTACCCATACCCGTGTATTCACCATGAGTCCAGCGAGCTGACTCTACCCATACCCGTGTATTCCCCATGACTCCAGCGGGCTGACTCTACCCATACCCGTGTATTCCCCATGACTCCAGCGGGCTGACTCTACCCATACCCGTGTATTCCCCATGACTCCAGTGGAATGACTCTACCCATACCCGTGTAGTCCCCATGACTCCAGCGGGCTGACTCTACCCATCCCGTGTATTCCCCATGACTCCAGTGGAATGACTCTACCCATACCCGTGTAGTCCCCATGACTCCAGCGGGCTGACTCTACCCATACCGTGTATTCCCCATGACTCCAGTGGAATGACTCTACCCATACCCGTGTAGTCCCCATGACTCCAGCGGGCTGACTCTACCCATACCGTGTATTCCCCATGACTCCAGTGGAATGACTCTACCCATACCCGTGTATTCCCCATGACTCCAGCGAGCTGACTCTACCCATGCCCGTGTATTCACCATGAGTCCAGCGAGCTGACTCTACCCATGCCCGTGTATTCCCCATGACTCCAGTGGAATGACTCTACCCATACCTGTATATTTCCCATGACTCCAGTGGACTCCATTCTGCTGGCCACATTCACTGTATTCCCCCAAATGTCGTAATGTGGCTTGCGAGCTCCGATCACACCGGCCAAGACGCCCCCTTTGTTCAGTCCTGCCATGAGAAACATAAGATTTTTTTTTGGTAGGAGTTCCTTGAATTGTTCTTCCATCCTGCGTTGGTCACATCCAACAGACAGCAATGCTTCCACATTCTTTCTAGTGTATATAAAAGGATGAGAGGGCCACAAATCTGGAAGAAGTCCACTAAAAGTTTACTATTCACATCAAGAGGTCCAAGAGGGGGAGGGGATTGCCACTATGAATATTAATGAATGGGGGAGAGAGCTCAGGGAGAGAGTTAATTTACACAGACTGCTTGCCGAGCACAGCGGCGGCCATTTTAAAAAGGAGCCATGAGGAGATGAAGAGGACAAAATAAACTAAGTTTCTGTGTTCATATACAGCAACTGCATATGTCTGCTTCATGCACACTCGGTGTACATTGCTGGCGTATGTTTATTTTTTTTAAATACCAGGAGGATAACAGCAGGAGAAGATAAAAAATTAAAATAATACAACCCGGGGAGCTTTTAAAACAGGTTATAATGACTCTTATGAGGAAGAGGAGTCAGCTATAGTGTGAGGAGAGGAGGTCCACAGTCCCCAAACTTTGTTATAAAGAGCTGGGGGGCCTCCAGAAACACAGGAAGCCCCCCCCCCCCGAAATTATACACGCTTACACCGATCTGCTTAACTCTGGGACTTTATATACCGGGATACACCTTGGCATATAACCATGTCATAATCTGAAATGGCCACAAGATGGCAGCAGTCTGCAAAATGGAAAGACAACACTGGTAACACAATGACCCCGAATGACTAAAGAAGAGAACATTCACTTTGCATGGGGAATCTACACTTAGCTGAGTGAATGTGGGAAGCTGTGCTGACTTCACTCATCTGTTCCTCTGACCCCCTAATATTAATTTCTTTGCATAGAGATCTGGACTCTTTTGGGTTCTCACCTATCCGAAGCATGAAGTTGTTGAACGACTGGTAGTTAATATTCATCAATGTCACCTTCATGGCCAGGGCGAAGTCTGCCAGGTCTGCCAGGTGCTGCCAGCGCTCCTTATCAGAGATTTCCTCCTTCTGTAAAAGCAAAGGAAACGGAGGTGTCATTTTATAGATCTATACAGCCCCACCCCCACCCAGTGGTCCACATCAGGGTGGTAAAGAATACAGCCAGGTTTGCTTGGTTCATCTCTAAAGCTGGCCATTCATGTTATCATCTTCTTGTACTATCTCGGGACTGTCTCCTTCTATGTTAGTCCCAGGCATGTTCAAATTTACTTACTGTTTGCTGACTCTCTGCTGGAAGTCTGTTCTGTGCGAACATCAACTACTCTTTAAGTATAAGATAACTTTCTAAGGTTAGTTTAGAACTATCCTCCTGCTAGTTGGAGGTCATGTCCCCGTGTTCTTGATCTCAGCTTCGTAATGTAATCCTGTCCTGCTGATCCTTATTCACACCCTTCATATATTTAAAGGAGAAATATGAGGGCAGTGCTTTTCACTCACCTCATAGTTCTAGCCGACCTGTGACAATGAGACTGTCACAGGTCGGCTCAGTAGATCGGGAGGTGAGGGAACACATACCGGCGCTCGCTCACTTCTCGATCTATCCCGGTGAGCCGTGACAGGGGAGGGACTGGATTCCCCCCTCCCCGCTCCGATCCTCCAGCGCTGACTGGCGGAACGGACGGGGGAGGGGGCGGGTACAGCTGGCTCTGCCTCTAGATAGGCAGAGCCAGCTGTCACTCACGCAGCTGGGCGGATACAGACATAATTGTCGGGATCCGCTTCAGCTGCGGCGTCTCGGTATACCGCGAGCTGTAGCTCCCTATATACTGAGCCTAGGGTGACGGGAGGACGCTAGTTTGTGTCCTCCCGTTACCCTAAGGAGAACTATGGGGAAAAGCCTTAACCCCATAGTTCTCCTTTAAGGGTTCAGTCCCATCCAACCTTTCCCTTCTTTCCTCCAGACTGCATATATTAGGTTCCTGCAGTCTCTCCTGATATGCTTTATCCCTCAGACCTTTCACCATTCTAGTTGTCCGTCTCTGGGCGCGTTCTATCTCATCTTTTTGAGGTCTCCAGAACTTGTGAGGACCTAGCTAAATGATCTATTCAATTTATATGCAATCAGGTATTCTTGATTTTATCCACAAGATTCTGGAGGGTGTCTTTGGGAACTTGCGCCCATTTGAGAGGACGGGTACAGATGGTGGATGAGAAGACCCGACTCACAATTATCGTTCCATTTCATCCCAAAGGTGTCCAGTAGGGTTGAGGTCAGGGCTCTGTGCAGGACACTGGAGTTCCTCCACAACAAAACTGGTTCATCGGCATTCCAATTCACGCCGAAAGTGTTCAGTAGGGTTGAGGTCAGGGCTCGGTGCAGGACACTCGAGTTCCTTCACACCAACCTGGTCACACCATACCTTTATGGAGCTGGTTTTGTACACAGGGGTCAGTCATGGTGGAACAGAAAATGGTCTTCACCAAACTGTCACCACAAGGAAGGAAGAGCACAATTGTCCACCATGTCATTGTATGATGGAGGATGAACGGGACCTTCACTGGAGACACCTGAACTCCATCATTTGGAGGGAAGTCCACATACCCTTGGCCATATAGATAGGTGTGATGGTTTGGTATCCACCAACATTTGCTCATGTAGTGTATGTCATTAACTTTTGGTAAACAAAACTAGATGTACTATTGTCCAATGGTCTGTGAAACCAACCTTGATGGTGTTGTTGAATCCATTTGTGTTTGGGTCTGGAGTGACGCCAGATGCAGCCATGTAGGTGCTACCGATGGTCTTAATCTTCGTGATACAGCGAAACTGTTGCTCATCCAACAGCTGGAAATAAAGAGATTCCAGAAAATGATCTAATTTTCACATGGAATGGATACTTTACCGATATATCTAGACACACATAAGACAAAGGATCATACCGCATCAAAATCTGAGATGATCTCATTGAGGAACCTCAGACACTCGATGCCGCCATTGTTGATGCTCTCTTCGGTGTAAAAGTCGGAGAAGTTTGGGATGGAAGCGAACATTACCCCGATCTCATCATACGACTGGCTGTACAGCTCCTGGAAGATGGAAGGCATGCAGTGAGAAGTCCATTAGGTGAGTCACCATGTTTTACTTAGAACGTTGAACAGAAGAATGATATGTTAGCGCACTCCTAGGGTGGTGTGTTGTGGCCGGTGTGCGGCTCCTGATATTGTTAGACCAGGGTATCTAACTGTGTGAAGTTGAATGGAAAAAAGGAAGGAGCGCACCTGACTGGCACAGGGTGTAAGGATGGGAAATGATCAGGGACAAAGATGAGGTATTGACACTTATGTGTGATGGGAAGAGAGGGCACAAGGGTGGTGTATACTTCTGATGGGGTCGCCGTATGGGTTGGGAGGTGTCACAGGGGTTGGTGTGCTGTCGCAATCCTTGCGCGCACTCCCAGTTGGAAACTGATGTGGGGAAGAGGGAACAATTGTTTAGAATTTCTGCACATGTGTGTGTAACTGGATGTGAACTCTTTACTCACCATGAGGTTTGGTGTGTGGCGTTATCAACATCAAAATGGTTCCTGTGGCGGGTCAGAAGCATAGTGGCGAAGCACGTTCTGTTCCTGGATGTTGTAATTGTAAGTGGTTCCTAAGTTCCAACTACAGCCTCCAGGAACACAACGTGCTTCGCCACTACACTTCCGACCCGCCACAGGAACCATTTTGATGTTGATAGCGCCACACACCAAACCTCATGGTGAGTAAAGAGTTCACATCCAGTTACACACAGGTGCAGAAATTTGAAACAATTGTTCCCTCTTCCCCACATCAGTTTCCAACCGGGAGTGCGCGCAAGGATTGGGACAGCACACCAACCCTGTGACGCCTCCCAAACCATATGGCAAGACCCCACGACCCCATCAGAAGTATACACCACCCTTGTGCCCCCTCTTCCCATCACACGTAAGTGCCAATACCTCATCTTTGTCCCTGATTGTTTCCCTTCCTTACACCCTGTGCCAGTCACTTGCGCTCCTTCCTTGTTTACTTACAAAAGCTTTAAAAAAATGGATGACAAGCCAGCTAAGGGTAAGAGGTAGGGGAGGAGGCTATTTAGGGTCTTATTAGGTGTTAAATAGAAAATAATCTTTTTTTTAGTTTATTCCTTTTCAGCCCTTTTTTTATTGTACAGGTTCTATCGCCTGTTTGGATCAATTACAATGACTCCCTAAGGGTGCCCACACACCTTACGATAATCGCGGGAAATCCTGCGATCGTACGATTATCGTAAGGTGTGTGGAAGCCGTGCGACCTCTACTACTGTAAGGTCGCACGATTTTTAACTTACGAACGTGTTCGAAAACCCGCCGAGCATCGTGTGTAGCATGTTCGTAAGATAAAAGCCGGATGGGCCGGTGTGCGCAAGCGCACACTGCCCGTTCGGCATTGCGGTCGTCGGAAGCCCGCCCCTCAGGGGGGCGTGGCTTGCGACCATCGCAAGTACGATCTGCCTGTCAAAGATAGGCAGATCGTACGTTTTTTTAAGTACCTTACAACCATCGCAAGACAAAAGTCTTGCGATGGTTGTAAGGTGTGTGCCCAGCATAAAGCAGGAGCTGATCTGTCTCTGGCTGATTGGCTCCTACTCGCACATGGGAACTTAAGCTGTCATGCTGATAGGTTGCTTTGGTCATAGAGGGCCCCTTTCTGATACTTACATGCACCGTCTGTGTGCTCCCCGGCTGCTCTGGGCCCTGGAGCGATATGAAATGCTTTGTACTCCCCCAAATTGAGAGTCCTTTTTGTTCTCTGACAAAAACCCATGTCCTGCAGATGATCAGCTGAAAAGCTGAACCCAACATGTTACAGCTATGGTGGGGCAGAATTGGAGATTTCCACCCTGCTCCTCTGGACCCAACATCCAAAACCATATCTGATTTGGGAAGTGGCCTTCCCACAACTGTGTTTCTGAAGAATTTTACGAACTCCAACCTTAGAGGCTGAGCCACCCACTACCTACTTACATCTTTCCACCACTGAAACCTCCACAGAACATATCTGTTCCTGCCCACCTCTTGGTTGTCCTCCCCTACATGGGGTAGTCCCATATAGGAAGGGTGGGGATGCCTTTTGAATGCCTGCAGAACCGAACTGGGATCTCTGACACCTAAGTCATCGAAATCCTTGTGAATAAAAGTTGGATGGTTTCCAAGCCCCTGCCAAACACTACAATACAGGTTTTGGGTGGACTGACCCTTTAGGTGACCAAGAAGAATTATTATATTAGTATTTCCAGAGGAAGAGCAGCAATGGCTTATTGTTCAGTTCCCTCATGTAAAGCCTTATGTTCTTCTCTCACCTCATCCCTCTTCTTGGAGCCTAGGAAGTGTCGTGCCACGTGTTCCGGCAGCATGTTAGTGACCAGAGCCTCATTCCACCGCCTCATATCGTACACTTTCTCCTTTTGCTCATGGACGTCGATCTTCCACAGGAACAATGTCCTGGCCAACTTCTCCACCTATAAGAACCAAGCATACATTTCTATTTCAAGTGGGCCTGAATTTACAAACAAATGAATATTCACCATCTTATAGGAATGTTAATTGCACTAAAGCCTTCCCCTGACATTAGTGGTGCACGTCCTTTGCCTAAGCACTCCTGCTCTGTAGCCCCAGAGCTGTATAACTGATGTGTATGATTGTCTAAGGCACTGCTGCCTTGGATTGCCAGTCTCACCAGATTTGGAGTGAGATTTGGTAATGCGATTACTGGGCTGCTCACTGTTCTCCTTGCTGGAGGGGAAGCTGTGCCTAAGATCTGCAGTGCAAGAATCTCTGTGCTTCTGCTTCATTGTTTCTGCGGATCTGTGCTTCCTCCACCTCTCACATTCAGAAAAACTGAGAGGAAGCTGTTCCCATTTAGCATTTAACCAGGTCACACCCAGCCTGTTGGAAAGGGCTGTAAGAGCACCGAAACTCAGCAGCCTGCAGTTTGGCCCTTTGGTTGAGGTGAACGGAACATTAGAATTTGACCTGAGAATGCTCTTTCTGTAACCTGTCATCTGTTACCAGTTACGTCATTATGTGTGTGTATCAACAAAGTCCCCTAGAGACTCGAATCACATATATACCCAGTTTCCTTGGGGTCACTGTAATGAACATGCCAGGCAGTTGTATTGTGCCAGGCAATTGTAGATGTCTTCGTGATCCGGTCATTAAATTCTGAGTTCAAGCCCCACAGCACTACAGATATCTGATGACCAGTATTCAAGGGAGCAGCTCTGGCACGAAGAAGCAAAGCCCTGCTTCTACCAAGATGGCCACCTCTACACAATGACACAGTGCATAAAAGATCAGCTGCCGGGAGACCACAGGCAATACTGGTGACTAACCCTTTGCCCTCTGGCTGCCTCATTTGGGCACAGCTTCCACACTACAGGTCCTCTTGAAGTGTACAACTTTGGGTTGGAATGGTAATTATTGGAGATCATCAGACTGATAGTCAACTTACATGGCGGGCGAAGTAGTAGAAGCTGATCATCATGATGAAGATCATTACTGTCATGGAATATTTGGAAGGAACCAGGTTTGATCTGTGTGAAGAGACAAAAAAACAGCTTCCATATAAGACTTCCACAGATTGCACGCACGGTAAACAAAGGTTCTAATCATGTATACCAGTGTTTCCTAAAGGGTTGGACTTATACTGCTTGGCATGACTAGCCTGATGTTATCTCTGATGCTTAGTGCAAGACTTTATTATGATCCCCCTCTACCACTGTAACCCTTGCCCCTGAAGTCTGCACCGAGGATGGCAGAATGGATGTTTTTGGTGCAAGGGGGATCAGTACTAAGTTTTTCTGTGATAGATAATAAAGACATGTAATATTATTATCAGCTGTATTTTGCAAGTTACTTACCCTCAAGGTAAACTGTAACAGTGTCCTTAAAGGAGAACTATGAGGTGAGTGCTTTTCACTCACCTCATAGTTATAGCCGACCTGTGACAATGAGACTGTCACAGGTCGGCTCAGTAGATCGGGAGGTGAGCGAACGCATACCGGCGTTCGCTCACCTCTCGATCCTGTCACGGCTCTCTGAGCAGCTGAGCGGATCCCGGCACAATTGTCGGGATCCGCTTCAGCGTCTCAGTATACCGCAAGCTCGCGGTATACTGAGCCTAGGGTGACGGGAGGACGCTAGTTTGTGTCCTCCCGTTACCCTAAGGAGAACTATGGGGGAAAGCCCTAACCCCATAGTTCTCCTTTAATCTTTATGGGTTGGTTGGGTCCAAGCCATAAAGCTGAAAAGGCAAAATATTTTATTGCCAATAGCTGTATCTCTTTGGCAAGCGCTTACTGGGCCTCACAGGGTCCTCTTCATTAGGCTTAAAGGGGAACCCGCGAGGCCCCGAAAGCGCTTGCCAATGAGATACAGCTATTGGCAATAAAATATTTTGCCTTTTCAACTTATGGTGTGCTGGTGACATTTTCTATTGTTCATGTGTGGCGGTGCCACCCGCAGTCATTTTGGAGCACCCATCTTCATCAAGTGGGAATCCCGGTAAGGAGTGTGCGGTATGGTTCCTGTTTCTGTTCTGTCAAGCCATAAAGCTAACACTTTCTTCAAACCCTAAACCTCATCTTAACACCTTATTTTAACATTTGACCTTACCCTAAGCCCTTTATCTAATTCTTAACTTTAACGTAACCTCATTCAGCTCACATTTTCCCTCAACCTAACCCCGGGTATCTAACACTTAACCTCATTATAACCAATTTATTTAACAGTTAAATTCAACCTAACCCCTTTGTCTAGCCCTAGACCTCAACTTAACCCTTTCTTCTAACACCTTTCCTAAATCTAACCCCTTAATCTTATACTAAACCTCAACTTATTCTCCTCATCAAAGCCTAAATGTCAACCTTACCCCTTCATCTTACCCTAAACCTCAACCTAGTCCTTTCATCTAACCCTAAACCTCATCCTAACCCCTTTGTCTAGCTCTAGACCTCAACTTAATCCTATCTTCTAACACTTTTCCTAAATCTAACCCCTGAATCTTATACTAAGCTTCAATGTATTCTCCTTGTCAAAGCCTAAATGTCAACCTTACCCTAAACCTCAACCCAATCCTTTCATCTAACCCTAAAACTCAACCTTACCCCTACATTTTACCCTAAACCTCAACCTAATCCTTTCATCTAACCCTAAATGTCAACCTAACCCCTTCATCTAACACATTACCTAAACCTAACTCCTAATACTAAACCTCCAACCTTTCACCGTTATCAAACCCTATATGACAATCTCACCCTTTCATCTAATCCTAAACCTCAACCTGATACTAAATCTCACCCTAAACCTCAACCTCATGCCTTTATTAAACCCTAAATCTCAATCTCACCTCTAAACCTTAACCTTACCCCTTCCTCTAACACTTTACTTCAACCTGACCCCCTAACCTAATACTTTACCTTACTCTATTCTCTTTCTCAAACCCTAAAATCTCAACCCAACTTCCTATATCAAAGACTAAAGTTCAAAGTCACCCTTTCTCCAATGAGAATATCACAACACAAAGTTATAGTATCACGTAGATAAATACTTTATCGCACTTATTCTACAGTTCTGAAAGTTTAATGCAACAAAACAGATCTCTGTGTGTGTGTAGTCCAGCCATGATCACATTTTTGGCATAAACATTCAAAAATCATCAGTTGGAAAAATTAGACATGGCACCCAAAGCAACTAATCTGCATGACAAAAAAGTTAGCTTAATACAAGGGACTCCTTGAATCTCCATATGATTTTTACTCCAGTTTCCATATTTATCAAATGTTAGGGGAAGGGAAGGTGGATTCATGTTACCAGGTAGATTGTGCACGGTGTGTCTGCTCAGTCATCACCCCATCCTAAGATCACCTTCAATCCTCACCACGATGGAAACTGGGTTCAACTTTCATGTTTAGCCTACATTAGTCTAGATTAGGCGGGAGGTTGCTCAGATTGCCTCTGCATATGAACCCACATTTTGCATCGGTGGCCAGCTGAACTCTACAAGCAATCCGGACAACCCCTTTAATATCAATAGGAGAGAGTCTTACACATAGCCGTTGAAGCGCTTTCTGTCGTACTCGTCGAAAATCGGCCTCCAGGCGTAAATGTTCACCACTCCCACTGCGACGCTGATCATCAGCATGAGCGTCAGCTTGACCATGTGACTGACCTGCACCAACATGATGGTGGCAATAAGGGCCAGGACCGCGATGTAGCTGTAATATTTGGGGTTCTCCACGCAGCCCCAGGCGTCCGTGGACTGCAAGGTTGCGTTGTAAGCGGTGGCGTAGTACTGAAGGCAGCTGAGCTGTGGGATGAACAAGGAACTGTCACATAAATCAGAACTTATTTGTCACTGGTCACACTGTATATAAACTGGTGAAAACGGAAATTGGATTGGACGTTAAGATGTCTGATTTACTGCCCAGATCGATTCAAATGATATCAGGACCCCTTCATAAGGGATGAAAGAAAAAAACTTATTACGGGAGCAATGACCATTACAAGCCTTCAAAAGAAATGCTAGCTGCCTGGCTGTCATAATGATGCTCTGATTTCAATGCTTTCTAGGTTAGTGTCCTGAAATAAGCATGTAGCTAGTGAAGAAGGAACACGCTCTGCATTCCCTTTGCAGCGCAGGTAACTAGAATTTTCAGAAGGAGGCCAGTAGCAGCAGCCAATGCGTCTTCCTAGCAACAGTTCCTTTAACATCGGAACAAGGGGGTATTTTGTTTTGTAAATAGTGATCAGATACTGTGGTCACTGGGTCTGGCCACCCCTTCCCGCCTTCTGCACCTTTGATTGGATAATAAGGCCATCCATCACAGCAATGAGTCAATAAGAACTAGGGAGAGGGTAGGCTAGAACCATTGATCACAGGAGCTGGTTACTGTATGCATATCAGAGCAACCTGATCTTATTAGCTCCTTGGGAGTTCTACAGGAGATCAGAGACGACTTGCAGGGCAAAGTAATAGGTTCACACATACTCACCATTTATGCTCTCCCCCGTCTTTTTCCCGATGCCCAATCCTTGCCCTGCAAGTCGCGGCTTAAGATCTGATCCATAACAGGACAAAGTACCCCAAGCCTGCTGATATGCCCTGTGAAGGTTCTCACTTAAACAGGCCATGGTATAGCTAGCAATAGGTAGTCACACCCCTTTGTCTAGCCCTAGACCTTAACTTAACCCTTTGTTCTAACACCTTTCCTAAATCTAACCCCTTAATCTTATACTAAACCTCAACTTATTCTCCTCATCAAAGCCTAAATGTCAACCTTACCCCTTCATCTTACCCTAAACCTCAACCTAGTCCTTTCATCTAGCGTTAAAACCTTAGCCTAATCCTTTCATCTAACCCTAAACCTCAACCTAACCCCTTTGTCTAGCTCTAGACCTCAACTTAATCCTATCTTCTAACACTTTTCCTAAATCTAACCCCTGAATCTTATACTAAGCTTCAATGTATTCTCCTTGTCAAAGCCTAAATGTCAACCTTACCCTAAACCTCAACCCAATCCTTTCATCTAACCCTAAAACTCAACCTTACCCCTACATTTTACCCTAAACCTCAACCTAATCCTTTCATCTAACCCTAAATGTCAACCTAACCCCTTCATCTAACACATTACCTAAACCTAACTCCTAATACTAAACCTCCAACCTTTAACCGTTATCAAATCCTATATGACAATCTCACCCTTTCATCTTACCTTCTCACTTATCCAGGCCATGGTATAGCTAGCAATAGGTAGTCACATTCAACGGGACGTGTTTGATAATGTTGAATGCAGCGCTGGGTGCCTGGCTGGCCAATCAGCCGGCTTGGCTAGTGGTAGGTAGTCTCATTCAACTGTACTTGTTCTGAGATGTGGAAGACGTTTTGTAGCTGATCCGAGCCACTTCTTTTGTTCTAATGAGTGTCAGGTCCATACCCCAGTATTTAAATCAGCTCAGAGAGCACAGAAACCTCACCCAATCACCATGGAATGTGTCTGGGCAGATGTTGATTGTCCAAGGGTATGATGGAAGATGTGAAAGTTGTGGAACTTCCCTATTCTAGGTACATAATCCCAAAGTTGGTGTCAGGAAGTCTGCATAGGTAGAAATTATACAATTCACATGGCTTAGGGTGTGAGGTATATGTTTTGACCAAGAGGACAACTGGTTTGCAAGAGTAAAAAAAGACATTATGTTCTACTGGAACAACCATCACTTCAACACCATCTGTCTTCTACATATAATGCCGCTTTAACTTCTCTACCCTCAGCCATGTGAAGCAAACGATTACCACCTATACAGACTCCCCAACATCAAGCTTGGGATTATGTAACTAGAACAGGGGGGTTCTAAAACATCACGGCTCCCATTCTGTTCTTGGACAACCAACGTCTGTCTTGATTGACACATTCTATAGTGATTGGCTGAAGCTGCCTGTACTACCTATGTGGATAGAAATTTCGGGGTATGTTCCTGACATTCATAAGAACTGAAGAAGTGGCTTGGGCAAGCTATGTAACATCTTCCATATCTCATAACAAGTACAACTGAATGTGACTAACTAATGCTAGCCAGGCCTGCTGAATGGCCAGTCAGGCACCCAACGCTGCATTGTGGGGAGGCAGTGGAAACATTTCACATGGACCTCCATACCTAGAAGCACCTGTCAGTCAAACAGGGCACCAAGGGAGACATAGGAAGCTGGGTCTGTTCTCGATAACCATCCCCTCCTCTCTAAAGCATACTTGTCACTTCACTCTATTTTCTTGGATGTCCACATTCATTCAAACCTTGGACTGCCAAAGGGATATACTAGATGTCATCAGGGCCGGTGCTGCCACTAGGCAGCCGCCTGGGGCACACTGCTGCCTGGGGCGCAATGCTACCCATGGTGCAGCCTTGAACATTCACCCCCAACGGTCAGGAGAATGGAGCCGCGTGGGAGGGGGACTGGAGGGGTGCAAGTAGCTGGTCTTGCCTAGGGCGCAAAATAGTCTAGCACCGGCCCTGGACATCATGGCAATGAAAAGGTTAAAACAAGCGATATCGGCTGTTTGTTCCTTTTAACATTTAACAGCAAGCGGCTTTAGCATTTGTAGCACATTTTATTTGGGTAACTGTAAAGCCAACCGATCACTTCTATTTCTACTTCCCCGCTCTCCCACCCAGGTTCCCCCGGGCTCCTTCAGATTCTCCATGGGCTCTAGAGGGGTTCTAATGGGGTCTAGTTTTTTGCATTTTATCATTTATATGAAAAATAGACAAATTAGACCAGAAGACCAAAAGGACTTGGATGCAGCTGTTGGACATAGGAGGAGACGGAACAGTCCTGGCTTCCTTACCATATCCACAATATCCGCCATGGTGAGGATAAATATGGCCGACATGGCCCAAGTGTTTCTCGCCCACCTGGTCCTGTCGATCCAAGTGGAAAAGGCAACTAGCTTTTTTGGGAAGACCTATAGGGAAAGATGAGAGAGATGAGAGGCCGTACAGTATGTACATGAAGACAGCTACACCCCTGACCACGTGATTTTATTAATCGCAGTTGCTCTCCTACCAGAGAACCACTTATCTTTACAGAAACGGTAAATGTTTTTATGCAAAATCTGTTTGCTGTGCAAATTTTCATTTCCTCCTTTTCCTATAGAGAGATAACAAGCCCGAGTGTATGCAGGGCAACAGAAGGATTAAAGTGTAAATCCCTCGCCATGCCGGTCAAACAAAAGCCTGCTGTTGAGATAACAAGATCACGTTTATGATAAGGCCTATCTGCGCTCGTATATCAGAAAAACACTCAGGGTGCTATGAGTGATCTCTCCTTCTGAAACTGCTAGTTGCCTGGCTGTCATACTGGTCCTGACCTGAATCCAGTTTGCACTCAAAGATTTCTAACTTGTTCCGATTCATTTCCAGTTCCAGAAGGCTGTACTTACAACAATTCAGATGAATAAAAACCAGCAGAGTAGGATGAGAAGTCGGAACCTCTAGCAGGGAGAGTCTGGAGTGATAAAATTCACCGGCGTCCTCTATCCCTGTGTTAGCAAAAGGTTTACGCGTTTCTGGGGCACGCCCCCTTCATCAGAACCTATAATAACCTGTGTTTCCTTATTGCTCTCTAATAGCAGTGCTTTCTAGCAGTCTACTGTCTCCTGAAGCAGGCCACCAGTCTTCAACAATTTCTGAAGCCAGTCTGCGGTCCCCAGTCTGCGGTCCCTGACCATCTCCTGCAGCACATTTGCACTTTCTGACCATCTCTGGTAGTGAGCCCGTGGTCCTTAACCATCTCACGTTGCTTGTTCTGTCTCTTGCCATCTCAGGTAGCAAGCACATAGTCTTTGACTATCTCCTGTTGCACGTCTGCAGTCCTTGACAGCTTCCTGTAGTATTACATTCAGTATTATTTGCAGCCCTTTGGTGATGTCATAGGATGCACGTGGGACCCCCTATATCAAACGAATTAAAGTCTCTTCTTACCCTGGGAAATATGGCAGCCAATGAGCAGATGGTAAGAACAAGGAGAAGGATTTCACCGATGACAAAAGTCACGTAGTTGGCCACTAGCCTAAAAAAAAAGACAAAATACTTATTACACAAGCAGAAATTTTACTTCATGTCAAATCTTTGTACAGTTGTCATTCCTCCTGGTGTAAACCTACCACCAATCAGCACTGCCCTGGGCTGAAGAGGATTGGGAACCCCTCATAATGGGCACAGCGGGTGTACAGACCTGGGAACTCAGCACAGGGAGGATTGGGAACCCCTCATAATGGGCACAGCGCGTGTACAGACCCGGGAACTCAGCAGAGGGATGGTGGGAGCTCCTCATAATGGGCACAGCAGATGTACAGACCCAGGAACTCAGCATAGGGAGGGTGGGAGCTCCTCATAATGGGCACAGCAGATGTACAGACCCAGGAACTCAGCATAGGGAGGGTGGGAGCTCCTCATAATGGGCACAGCAGATGTACAGACCCAGGAACTCAGCATAGGGAGGGTGGGAGCTCCTCATAATGGGCACAGCAGATGTACAGACCCAGGAACTCAGCATAGGGAGGGTGGGAGCTCCTCATAATGGGCACAGCAGATGTACAGACCCAGGAACTCAGCATAGGGAGGGTGGGAGCTCCTCATAATGGGCACAGCAGATGTACAGACCCAGGAACTCAGCACAGAGCTCTAACCGTTAAAGTTCCCAAGAGATAGAATAAACTGTCAGGAGGTATACTCTCCAGCATATAACCAAGACTGAAATATCACTAGAATAACGCTCTATAGACTTACATGGGATCGATCAGCATCTGAACAACAGCAGTAAAGAACAAAACCACGCAGGAACAGCTAAAGGCAGCCCCGCTCTGCTTCTCCTTCTCCACCGAGAATCGGGTCTCCATCTCCGGGTTGATGAACCTCATGGACAGGCGGTAGGTGTACTTCCCTTTCAAGCTGCAGAGAGAAGAGAGACAATCAACCAAATCACTGCGAAGTCCTCAGTACCCCATCCATCAGAACGGCTTGTTAGCAAAAATAGAAATATTCATTCAATTTCCAAGATTTTGAACGTAGCACAGTAGAGCCTTCTAAGATCAGAAGGTATCACATGTCTCATTCCATCACACACCCCAAAAATACGGAAATTATCCCCCATTTCAGGACCGTGGGAAGAGCCATGCAAATCATTCCTTTATATCAGCCATATGCAGTTGGTGTATTGTGCATGTTTGAAGGCTGGCTGAAGGCTAGCCTGGATTTGTGGGAGGAGCCTGTGCCTTTAAAGTCGGCGGGGTATCACTTACTTGATAAGGCTCGGACCACAAATACTGTATAGCCTAATATTATAGAGCCATTTATTTAAAAATTTCCATACACTGCACCGATGATGGCCAAAAAGCCTGAAACAGCTGTATTGAAGACACACTGAGAGCCTCAGTGAAGTCCTGAGAGTGAGAGTCTGCAGTGCTTAGTACCCCCTGGTGTGGTGACCCAGGAGGTACCTTAGGATCACTTATGGGTTTGGGACCCCACTACCGTGTTTCCCCGAAAATAAGACACTGTCTTATATTTTTTTGGGCTCAAAAAAACACACTAGGTCTTATTTTCAGGGTAGGTCTTATTTTTTTTTTTTTATAGAGGAAACATCGGCTTATGCGGCTCTGCTCCCTGCGCTGCCGCCTCGCTTCCTCTAGCCCTGGCTTTGTTGGCACCGCTGATTCTCTCCCGCGGCTCTTCAAGTTCCCCCTTATGCCACCACTGGCCCTGGGAATGGTCACAACTAGGTCTTATTTTCGGGGTAGGGCTTATATTTTAACAATTCCCAAAAATAGTACTAGGTCTTATTTTCGTGGTAGGTCTTATTTTCAGGGAAACAGGGTAGTGAGAATGGCACCTCGCCCCTTGGACTAGGCCTTATGGCTAAGACCAGGGGTAATTTTTATTACCGGGCCACAAGGCCTAGCCATTGCTTACACATTGGCACTCCACCGTCTGTGCACTTCACTTTTTATTTAGTTGGAGGATGTGTGGCCATTTGGTTCTTTCCTCCCCTGAAACGGAGGTCTCCCTTCGGGAGAGCCGTCAACCTAGTAACTGGTGGTTGGCTTCGGCTGACCACGAGGAATGGATCTGCCTGGTTTCGGCCAGGTGGACACAAGTGCCTTGCCCCTGTCAGGAGCCCTGCGACCCAGGGAGGTCAGGGAAGGGCCCTCTCTCTTTTCGGGAGACGGGCCAAATCCAACACACCCTTGTGCACTTTTTTGGTTCGCTTTTTGGGTGCGTGCTTGCACGCACTGCAGGCTTAGAAAGAAAATGGGCCCCCGTGCAGATCTCCATTACTAAGAAATTATTTTGGGGTTCGCTTCCACAACCTCCAGTTTTACATGAATGCTTCCTGCTTTCCAGCTCCCTTGTCCACTCCTCCCATACTCGCCTCCAGGACTTCTCTAGAGTCTCTCCCATCCTCTGGAACTCCTTACCCCAACCTGTCCGTCTATCTCCCACCTTGACTGCTTTTAGGCGTTCCCTAAAGACTCATCTCTTCAGGGAAGCCTATCCCACCTCAACCTAACCACTGAACCTTCACATTCTCACATAATTCATTCCCACACAGCTACCTCCTCATGTATCATTTCCCCCTCCTCTTTTAGATTGTAAGCCCTCAGGGGCGGGGCCCTCCTTACCATCTTGTCTTGAATTGTATTGTAACTGTAATGTCTTCCTTATATTGTAAAGCGCTGCGCAAACTGTTGGCGCTATATAAATACTATGTAATAATAATAATAATAACGCAAATAATGGACACCTACAGGAAATCAGATGCAGAGAGATAGAGAGCATTCCATGAAAAACACACTTTCTAAGCTGCTATTCATGCTACAGGAAACTTGACGCAGAGCATCACTGAAACTCCCGAAAAATGTAAATCTGGAGATGTGAGTATACTCAAATTATAATCCTAAATACGTTTTTCACCAAAAAGGTGGCCATCTGTCGTTGTTCAGCTGGCATGAACAGTCCGGCCAAGTACCGTATTTTGCGGTCCATAAGACGCACCGGACCATAGGACGCAGGGAGGTCCGGCGCGCCTTATGGAGCACTCGAGACTGTAGCTTCTGTGACAGCTTCTATGACAGAAGCTGTGACAGAAGCTGCAGTTAGTGACCGCTGAGACAGGTGGCGCTGTGATTACAGCGCCACGGTCTCAGTGATGACACAGAGCAGGCGAAGAACGTCTATTCTTCGTCTGCTCTATGGTTATCTCGATCGTCGCCGCTGCTCGGTTTTAATACGAGTGATCTCATTAGATCACTCGTATTAAACGAGCAGTGGCTCCTACTGCTGAACTCGATCGCCGCCGCCGCTGCTCGGCTTTAATACGAGTGATCTCGTTAGATCACTCGTATTAAACGAGCAGTGGCTCCTACTACTCGCCCGGCGCCCGAAACTGCATGTCTCGGGCGTCGGGATTCGCTCCATAAGACGCAGGCACTTTTTCCCCCTCCTTTTGGGGGGAAAAAAGTGCGTCTTATGGAGCGAAAAATACGGTATGTGCTATCTACACAAGGAAATGCTGAGAACTTAAGGCCCCATTCACACTGAGCGATTTCCGCCGCGATATCGCGAGAAGTCGCCGGCTAATGATATTCAATGGAGCTGTCTTAGCTCCATGTCGCTCGTCGCGGCCGCAAGTCGCTTCTATAGGACCCTTTTTTCGGCGGATTTTGCTTTTTGCTAATGGAGCCCGACGGAGAAGGTCGCGCTACCGTCGCTGGAACGTCGCCCCGAAAGCCGCGCTATCTCGGCCGCTGCAAAAGGTATGTCGCTACGTGTGAATGGGGCCTTAGATTGACAACATCTGACTGCTTAAGGTGCCCGCAGACCGCGATATCTAATCTGACTATTTAGGGGATGGGGGAGCCCCCTGAGCTCTATGACAAGAGGGACTTGAAGCTTACAATGGTCTTCCTTTCCTCGCACCCTGATGGCTGAACAGAGCCGTGAAAGTGAACAATTTGCTGCTGGGGGGGGGTAGCGACATTAATGCAAACTTGTTGCTTTGCTCTGCATTGGCTAACTTCAGGTTCAGAGTAGACCTTCACCATCCATGGTGAACCTATGTAAGGTCCTGGTGCCCAACCTGCAGCAGAAGGACCACTTGGTTCTTCCCATGTGACCCTTGGACCCCAGCAGTCAGCAGTAATGGCGGACATCTCTGGCAGTCTCATGTAATGTGTTCCTTGTCTCTGTATCTGCAGTCGTCCAATCACCCCTGTAGTATATCCGTAGTCTCTGACCATTTCCTACGTCTGCAGTCTCTGACCATCTTCTGTAACATTACATATACTGAACATTAGGTGCGGCCCCTTGGTGATGTTTGGGGCCACATTTGAGTTAACGACCCCTCATGTAAGGACTAGGTGGGGAGTTGTTATAAATACCGACGGATAACTTACACTTGCACGGTCTCTCTCTCCAGGAGGGCCTCATTCAGCAGCTTGTTCAGCTCTTGCTCGTTCTGTTGGGCGTCGATGACCCTCTCGGCCAGGTCTCGGAGGCGGAGCCGTCTGCGGGGGTTGGGGAAGGATGGGTTCACTACCTGTGAGAGACGGGGACAACAAACAAGGGATAGCCGTGCTGTTAAAGTAGAACGCGTCGCTCTGTGTCCTACGGACGTGCAGTATATAAAATGAGAATTCATTCATTAGGTGGCCATAAAACTCACAAAGTCTCCTGGAACAAATACAACATCAGATTAAACATTAACAAAGAATTAAAAAAATACATTTTGTAGATTCTTTACTGTAAGAGTGAAATATTGTGTATTCTTTACTGTAAGGGTATGGATTATAGTATATTGTTTACTGTAAGGATGAGATATTGTATATTCTTTACTGTAAGGGTGAAATATTGTATATTGTTTACTGTAAGGATGAGATATTGTATATTCTTTACTGTAAGGGTAGGCATGTTCTGTATTCTTTACTGTAAGAGTGACATATTGTAGATTATTTACTTTAAGAGTGAAATATTGTATATTCTTTACTGTAAGGGTGACATATTGTATATTCTTTACTGTAAGGGTGAAATATTGTATATTATTTACTGTAAGGGTATGGATTATAGAATATTGTTTACTGTAAGAGTGACATATTGTATATTCTTTACTGTAAGAGTGACATATTGTAGATTATTTACTGTAAGGGTGACATTGTATATTCTTTACTGTAAGGGTGACATATTGTATATTGTTTGCTGTAAGGGTAGGCATGTTCTGTATTCTAAGAGCGACATATTGTACATTCTTTACTGTAAGGGTATGAACCATGCGGCCATCACGGAATCGCACACCACCGCCGATCGCGCTGATTGTGCCATTATTTCACAATGACAACCCAGTTGCCCCCAGGCAGATCGCGCAATTTCCCGGCACAGTACCACCCGTGCAATCGCGCACCATTGCAGTTTAAAAACCCGCGTAGTGCGTGTCGCCAAAAAAGGCACACGTACCTTTTTTCAGCAATTGCCGCGCGGATGTAACTCCATTGAGATCACAGGGGCTGCATGACAACTGCTGTGTGCACCCGCACACGATCGGAAGTCTGCACGAGCCCTAAGTGGGAGGTGTTTTGTGCTTCACAGGATATAGCCTGGAAGGCTGATGACAGTGTTTGAGGTGTCAGTACATTCCACAGGAAGATACAGGGACATGGCATTTCTCTGGAAGGATCAACAGGTGTTTTCTGTACCTGCAGAAACTGTTCTCGGCCTGAAAAAAAAAAGAAAACGAATGCAGCCAACACATCTAAGGACGGGTAATATTTATGACAATTAGGGATGGGCCGAGTGTTCCATTGGCTCCCAGCCTGCATTGAAGAGGAGGCAGGGGGTAGGGGCAGAGGAGCCGCAGCCGGACCGGATCGGAGAAGAAGCCAACGGACCAGGGGACCGGAGGCCGGGACAGCAGCGGAGGTACTGGGGGCAGCGAAGGCATGCAGCGGTCTGTGTTCCCGCTGTCCCTGCCAACACAGGCGCAGAGAGCAGCGGGGATTTGAAGGGATGCAGCCACAGTTCTCCTAAATGTACCGGCAGCTGCCGGTACATTTAGGGGAACTGTGGACGCGGTTCACACGGATTGTCCGTAACCCGGGGACTGCCTGTATAAGCCCTCTTAAAGGGGACATTCATTTTCGAACGTTCGACCCCCATTTACTTGTATGGAGTTCAATTTCAAACTTTTCAGCCGTTCCAATGTTCGAATACGAACCGAACACGGGGGTGTTCGGCTCATCACTAATCACAATGTGGTTCTTGGGTAATGTAAACACATGGACCTGCCAGATTCCATATACCATTTTCCAGGGGGGACCAGTTATGGTCAGTCTTTGGTCAGTAGAAAGAAAGCTGGATTGTGCACGTGGCAGCAGCGATGTGCGTTGTCAGGTGGAGGAGGACGAATCGCCCCTCACTGATGTGACAGGAGAGCACAGTGACCTATCACATAACAGCCCTATTATCAGTACAAAAGCTCTCTGACATGTTCTCCTGCAGAATAGAATCATCCGCAGCTGATTGCATCCCGGGAACAATGTCCGATTATCTGAGGTTATTATATAAAACCTTGGCCTATGGCGAGGTCCAGGAGAGAGAATCTGCCTCTGACACACCTCAAGCTTTCTCCTCAGGAAGAGTTTATTACTTTCCACTTACTCTCAGAGGGATGCAGCTCAATGATTTACACACTCAGCTCGTTAACTTGTAATGAGAGAGCCTGAAGCCCGGGTGAAGTTGGAGCATTTAGTTGAGGTCAGTTACGTCCAACGCTGGTAAAACTTTATTGCCATTGGGTGTTACGCTGTGCGGTTTTTCTCTGCATGTGTGAACAGTTCGGGGTGAGTCCCTGCACCCGGCAGTGATCCTCTATACACCGGGCAGCCATAACATTATGACCACTGGCAGGTGAAGTGAGGTGGAGGTAGTGTGATGATTTGGGCAATGTTCTGCTGGGAAACCTCGGGTCCTGCTATTCATGTGGATGTTACTTTGACACGTACCACCGACCTAAACATTGTTACTGACCAAGTACACCCCTTCAAGGAAACAATACCCCTTTCAGCAGGATAATGAGCCCTGCCACACTGCAAAAATGGTTGAAGAATGGTTTGAGGAACACAAAAACGAGTTTGAGGTGATGACTTGGCCTCCAAATTCTTCAGATCTCAATCCAATCGATCATCTGTGGGATGTGCTGGAGAAACAAGACCGATCCATGGAGGCCGATCACCTCACAACTTACAGGACTTAAAGGATCTGCTGCTGACGGCTTGGTGCCAGATATCACAGCACACCATCAGAGGTCTAGTGGGGTCCATGCCTGGAGTCCATGCCTGGACAGGTCAGGATAAGGGGGACCTACTCAATATTGGGGGGGTCATCCAGATACCACAGCACACCTTCAGAGGTCTAGTGGAGTCCATGTCTGGATGGGTCAGGACAAAGGGGACCTACTCAATATTAGGGAGGTCATCCAGATAGCACAGCATACCTTCAGAGGTCTAGTGGAGTCCATGCCTGGACAGGTCAGGAAAAGGAGGACCTACTCCATATTATGGGGGGTCATCCAGATGCCACAGCACACCTTCAGAGGTCTAGTGGAGTCTATGCCTGGAGTCCATGCCTGGACAGGTCAGGATAAGGGGGACCTACTCAATATTGGGGGGGTCATCCAGATACCACAGCATACCTTCAGAGGTCTAGTGGAGTCCATGCCTGGACAGATGAGGAAAAGGAGGACCTACTCCATATTAGGGGGGTCATCCAGATGCCCCAGCATACCTTCAGAGGTCTAGTGGAGTCCATGACTGGACAGGTCAGGAAAAGAGGGACCTACTCCATATTAGGGGGGTCATCCAGATGCCCCAGCATACCTTCAGAGGTCTAGTGGAGTCCATGCCTGGACGGGTCAGGAAAAGGGGGGGACCTGCTTAATATTAGGCGGGTGGTCATAATGTTATAGCTGATCAGTGCTGTCACAGATACTCAAGGCACCAAGTAGGTTGCACCTCTCCAAAAATAGGATTTCTGGTGCCAAAAAGATTTATAATAGAGTAAAATGCTTTCTGCCAGCAATAAGTGTTTCCAGTGTTTCAACTGGATCATTATCATCACCACGACACCGGCCGGTTATAATAAGCAATGCTCTTTGCATCCCTTTATTGAGAGCACTCTCATTATCACTCATTATCAACCCTTCATGATTCGATTCAATAGCAATGCTCATCACCACCCAACCCAGATTACTACTAGCAATGCTTGCTATGACTCAGTAATATCCAAATTAACATAGGTGATGTTATCACCGCTCATTAACACCCTCACACATGCCTGTTATTGGAAGCACAGCTCACAATTATTAGTCTGTGTTGGGCCTAACAGTTGGTTTCCTTCAGCTTCCCTACATACAATGGGAGGTTATGCGTCTTCTAATGTGTATAACTGCTGGGAGGGCTCTGCTCCATGGTGCCCAACATGTAGGTCAAGGGCCACATGCGACCATTTGGTACTTATTGTGTGTTCCTTGGGCTCCAGCAGCTAGCAGTCGGAGCATTAATTTGTAAAGTGGTTGTAACTGCAGTGATCCCTAACAGTCTTATGTAACAGGTCCACAGATTTTGTCTCCTCTACAGTCTTCAAGCATTCCTGTAGCATGTCCTCAGACACTTACCATCCTCTGTAGCATGTCCTCAGGCACTTACCATCCTCTGTAGCATGTCCCCAGTCTCAGAGCATCTCCTGTAATATGGTTCCAGTCACTAACTATCTCCTGCAATATTTCCACCATTCCTGACCATCTCCTGTAGTCCACAATCTCTAAACTATTCTGAACTATCTCATGTGGCATGTCTCCAAGCTCAGCCCATCTCCTGTAGTGTGTCTACCATTCCTGACAATCTCATATATCTTGTGCCCAATCAATGACCATCCCCTTCAGCATGTCCACAATCCCTGACCATTTCCAGTTATGCCCCCAGTGTCTAACCATCCCATGTAGCATGTCCACAAACCCTGACCATCTCCTGTTATGTTCCCATCTCATGGTTTGTGTCCACAATCTCTGACCATCTACTCTAGGATGTCCTCCATCTCTGGACCTCTCCTGTAGGATGCTCCCCATCTTTGACCATTTTCTGAAGGATGTCCCTCATCTCTGGCTATCTCCTGTAGGATGTCCCCCATCTCTGGCCATCTCCTGTAGGATGTCCCCATCTCTGGCCATCTCCTGTAGGATGTCCCCCATCTCTGGCCATCCTGTGGGATGTCCCCCATCTGTGGCCATCTCCTGTAGGATGTCCCCCATCTGTGGCCATCTCCTATGGGATGTCCCCCATCTCTGGCCATATCCTGTAGGATGTCCCCCATCTCTGGCCATCTCCTGTAGGATGTCCCCCATCTCTGGCCATCTCCTGTAGGATGTCCCCCATCTCTGGCCATCTCCTGTAGGATGTCCCACATCTCTGGCCATCTCCTGTAGGATGTCCCCCATCTCTGGCCATTTCCTGTAGCTTGTCCTCAATATCTGTTCATCTCCTGTAGTACCTTCACAATCCCTGACAGTCAAGTGCTTTGAAATATGCTGGAGCTTTATAAACTAATAATTCATTATGATAACATTTATTACTGACTTTTATTCATAGCTGTGGTAGGAACATTACAGCGTGACTTCCTCTGAAGCATGGACTGATGTAGGAGGATAACAGCAATAATACTAAAAACCTCTAAAAGGTAAAATAGACCAAATGATGCCAAACTATATAAATCTATAAACAGCTCTGGGTCTTGAGTTCAAATCTCACCAGGAACCCTACTGGTATATTTACACGGGATACCTCCCAGTGCTACAGGTTTCTCCCACAATCCAAAATACTGTATTACTAGAAGGTTTAAAAAAAATGGGTGTACAGCGCTATTTTTCTACACTTCCATATAATAAGTGAATTTCATATATGTGCAAAACGTGCATGTAATATAAAGTGCTCTAAGTCTAAAATTCATAAAACAATCTGTTATAAAACAGCGTTGGTTTGGAGCACAGTGTTTTGCCAGCTTTTGGGCTGGATTTGGGACTTTTTGCAATATAAGATCACAGCTTTTTTGCACATGTTAAAGTCACATCGATTTCCTGTCATTATGATAAATTAAATCAGACTGTTTTATGAATTTTAGACTTTAGAGCACTTTATATTACATGCACTTTATGCGCTGGCACTATTGAAATATTGGTGCCTAACCAATCTTTTCACGTATTAATGTTTGTTGGATGAAATTCACTTATTATATGGAAGGATATATATAGCGCTGTACACCCATTTTTATCTGTTTAAAAGCATTCACGCTTTAAGTATAGCAGCTTTATATCCTTTGCCTAGTTAGGGAAGTCCTAAGCGCAGAATATTAATAGATTGATGCTAGAAGGTTAATTGCCTTTGGTTGGAATGAGTGTGGTACGGACTTGTTTTGTGAGCTCCTTTGGGGAGATTGGTGTGAATGATTCTTGATAACATCTCATCTCTTTCTATATACAGTAATACCTTGGTTTACGAGCATAATTCGTTCCGGAAGCATGCTTGTAATCCAAAGCGCTTGTAAAGCAAATTTCCCCATAGGAAATAATGGAAATTCAGATGATTCGTTCCACAACCCAAAAATATTCATATAAAAATGATTACAATACTGTACTGTGATATAATACTGTACAAAATATAAAGAAAAGTAAACCGATTACCGGTACCTTCGTGGCTGGTGTGAGGGGGACGAGAGAGAGGAGGATTATTGTGTAGGACGACTTTCACTATCACTAACGGAATCACTAGGAACCCTACTGGTATATTTACACGGGATACCTCCCAGTGCTACAGGTTTCTCCCACAATCCAAAATACTGTATTACTAGAAGGTTTAAAAAAAATGGGTGTACAGCGCTATTTTTCTACACTTCCATATAATAAGTGAATTTCATATATGTGCAAAACGTGCATGTAATATAAAGTGCTCTAAGTCTAAAATTCATAAAACAATCTGTTATAAAACAGCGTTGGTTTGGAGCACAGTGTTTTGCCAGCTTTTGGGCTGGATTTGGGACTTTTTGCAATATAAGATCACAGCTTTTTTGCACATGTTAAAGTCACATCGATTTCCTGTCATTATGATAAATTAAATCAGACTGTTTTATGAATTTTAGACTTTAGAGCACTTTATATTACATGCACTTTATGCGCTGGCACTATTGAAATATTGGTGCCTAACCAATCTTTTCACGTATTAATGTTTGTTGGATGAAATTCACTTATTATATGGAAGGATATATATAGCGCTGTACACCCATTTTTATCTGTTTAAAAGCATTCACGCTTTAAGTATAGCAGCTTTATATCCTTTGCCTAGTTAGGGAAGTCCTAAGCGCAGAATATTAATAGATTGATGCTAGAAGGTTAATTGCCTTTGGTTGGAATGAGTGTGGTACGGACTTGTTTTGTGAGCTCCTTTGGGGAGATTGGTGTGAATGATTCTTGATAACATCTCATCTCTTTCTATATACAGTAATACCTTGGTTTACGAGCATAATTCGTTCCGGAAGCATGCTTGTAATCCAAAGCGCTTGTAAAGCAAATTTCCCCATAGGAAATAATGGAAATTCAGATGATTCGTTCCACAACCCAAAAATATTCATATAAAAATGATTACAATACTGTACTGTGATATAATACTGTACAAAATATAAAGAAAAGTAAACCGATTACCGGTACCTTCGTGGCTGGTGTGAGGGGGACGAGAGAGAGGAGGATTATTGTGTAGGACGACTTTCACTATCACTAACGGAATCACTGCTATCTCTTGACTCAATGGAATCTTTTTCATTTCGTGAAACCTTAACAAGGAATCTATCCAATGTGACGTTGCATTGTCCATAAACAGACTCATCGCTAGCACTTCTACAGCTTTATTCGGGTGGCGCTTTTCTACAAAATTTTGCTCTTATTGCAAGACATTTGCTTGTATATCAAGGCAACATTTTTTCAGAAACACTCTCAAACCAAGTTACTTGTAAACCAAGGTATTACTGTATACTGTTATATCGGCCACTCAGTGTATATAATAATCCGGCCACTCAGTGTATATAATAATCCGGCCACTCAGTGTATATAACAATATAGATCCCCTGTAGCCTGTCCTCAATCTCTATTCATCTTCTGTTTTATGTCCACTTTCGGACCCCCTCCTGTAGGATGTCCCCCAGCTCTGACCAGTAACTGTGTGTATTGCATGTAGATATATCAGAAAGTTTGGTCCTGGCTGCCCGGTCTGTTAGCCTGGCTGCGGTGCCATTGACTTCAATGCACCGCCACGCCCCCTGCCGCCCCTGAATGCAGGTGTTTTTTCGTTGGTAGATCTCAATGAGCTCGAAGACGAAAAATAGTGGGCGCCTCTGGTATAGGCATTATCTTTAAATTTCTAAGAGATATGCCAATTAGATATGTGCACCAGCAAAAAAATCTGTTTCATTTCGATTCGGATTTTGCGTTATTTCGTTTTTCGAAGTGTAGAGTGTAAGCTCCTCAGGGGCGGAGACTGATGCTGCAGAATATGTCAGAACTAAATAAATGAATCCGTATTGCCTCATGTACTGTGTATTATACTGTAACTATATACATTGATAATACTAAATAAAAAAACACAAATCACCAAATTGCAGATTGCAAAAGCAGCCCTGCTGAGCCCTCTGTGCTGGTGGCACCAGTCTCAGTTGCTGTGTGCTGTACAGGACTTGTGTGACCAATAGCTATAGAGTAGCACTCACTCTGGTGTCCAGCTCCTCGTTCTCATCGGGCGTAGTACACGTCGTGTGGATACTTCCGTTACATTCTTTGGTGTTGATCAGCTGTGGGGAATTTCCATGTGATGATGTCAGTGACAGCTTCTGAACAAAGAAAAAAAAGAACACAGCGGAAAGATATGTCACTGCAGACCGACTCTGGGAACAATGAAGAGTACCAGAACCGGCCATTTATAATCATCATGAGGCTTATTATGACTTTGCATTATTTTTTTTAAAGCAAGGACCCCATCCAGGATCACAACTTACCAGAAAAAAAATTACAGGGTATTGAAGGGGGGCGGGTTCAACGGGGCTGGTTCACACCTATGTGCTGCAGTATAGTGTGAAAGGGAAACAATATGGGCCCACTTAAAGGAGAACTATGGGGTTAAGGCTTTTCCCCATAGTTCTCCTTAGGGTAACGGGAGGACACAAACTAGCGTCCTCCCATCACCCTAGGCTCAGTATACCGCGAGCTGTAGCTTGCGGTATACTGAGACGCCACAGCTGAAGCGGATCCCGACAATGATGTCTGTCTGAGCCGACCTGTGACAGTCTCATTGTCACAGGTCGGCTAGAACTATGAGGGGAGTGAAAAGCACCCCCCCCCCTCATAGTTCTCCTTTAAACCTATGCATCTGAGTTACCACACATGCTGCAATGCACCTGGAATCCAGCCTAAGCTGCTGCCCGCATGCTCCACCAAGTTGCAAGGGGGACAGGTATTGGCAGCGGTAAACCATGCACGAGGCAGAGACAATCCAGAACAGTTCAAGCAGCTTTTGTCACTTGCATTTTGATATTTTGAGGCGTCTGACAGCAGCGAATTGGGTGTAAGATGAAATACATATACGGGAGCTATTTTACATGCCAAACGGTTTGTATTTCTCTCCATCCAGTTCTAGCAGGGAAGGGAACCTGGTCTTTGTCTACTGCAGTTAAGTAACACTTACCGCTCTTATTCCTCCCTCAGAGTTTGACTGGACAGTGAAAAGAGAAGCAGCAGACCGAAGAGCTCACCTTTTCATCACTTTGCTCACTCCTCTTATCAGCATGCTCCTTGTTAGTGCAGGATTACTGCTGCTGCTGCTGCTGCTTACTTGTGCTGCTACTCCCACCCTATGTCTGAGCTCTGCTGTACAGAGACCACAAGAGTCCAGATCAGGGGCGGACTGGGCCGAGGGGCAGGGTGGCAATTGCCCCCCGGGCCTCTGTAATGAATTTAAAAACGGCCCCCGCCGGCGCCGATGCAGCGGTAATCACGCTTTTTTATCTCTCCCCTCTATATTCCCATGCAGTGCAGAGGCCATCACTGTAATGTAGAGGTCAGCGGGGGGAATGTAGAGGTCAGCAGTCAGTATGCATGCAGTGCAGAGGCCATCGCTGTAATGTAGAGGTCAGCGGTCAGTATGTACGCAGTGCAGAGGCCAGCGGGGGAATGTAGAGGTCAGCAGTCAGTATGCATGCAGTGCAGAGGCCAGCGGGGGAATGTAGAGGTCAGCGGTCAGTATGCATGCAGTGCAGAGGCCATCGCTGTAATGTAGAGGTCAGCGGTCAGTATGTACGCAGTGCAGAGGCCAGCGGGGGAATGTAGAGGTCAGCAGTCAGTATGCATGCAGTGCAGAGGCCAGCGGGGGAATGTAGAGGTCAGCGGTCAGTATGCATGCAGTGCAGAGGCCATCGCTGTAATGTAGAGGTCAGCGGTCAGTATGTACGCAGTGCAGAGGCCAGCGGGGGAATGTAGAGGTCAGCAGTCAGTATGCATGCAGTGCAGAGGCCAGCGGGGGAATGTAGAGGTCAGTGCTACTGGTGTGCTATAATTTTCCTCAACCCAGGAATGCATCTACTGCGTTACTTCCAGGTGTGCATGAAGAAAGAGGGTCATGAAAACAGCTGATTCGAATGACACGGCCCCACCGTAAGTGACTCGGTCGAGAAAATGTATGGGGTCGAGAAAAATTATAGAACACTGACTTTGACACGGTCTGGCTTCTCCCACTATCCTCCCAACAGCTCACAGCCTAGAAGTCCGGTGGCCCACAGTGGGTGAGAGTGCCTAAGTAGCGGACATGAAGCGGAGTAAGGCCAGAATCATTTAGGGAGCCCAGCCAGTCACCCCTTTCATGGACTTCCTACTGAGTCCTCACATCACCCGACCAATCACACTACTGTTACATGGATGGCAAGTGGGGGCGGGGGAAAAGGCAAAGTGGGAAGTGGGTCAAGTCGCTGCACCATGGGCCTCTGTGTTGTATTTGCCCCCTGGGCTAAAAGTTGCCGGTCAGCCCCTGGTCCAGATTTAACATCAGCCTGTGCATGTTTCCTCAAAACTCTCTGTGGGCTCCAAAGATACAGGTGTGCTTTAGGACATCATGTCTGCCTGAGCTCCTCCACTGGGCATACACAAGCGGCTACAATTCGAAGGCTGGTGGCTAACCCGGATAATGTGTATCATATCTACTTTTCTTTTCCCCAAAGCTCAGATACTCACCACTCCATTGATGCCATTCTTATTGACTGGCTGCTTTGGTAGGACAACCAGGTAAGTGACGATACCCTTTTCTCTCAGGTAGTCACACCTTGTGCCTCCTTCCCCCGGCTCCACTTCAAACTCCCCCTTCAGACAGTCAAAGGTGCTCTGAGAGATGTGCACGCGGCTGTGGGGAATTCGGGATGGAAATATATCAGCGGGAGCAAATAAATTATTAGCAAAAAAAAAAGTGAAGAGTACCTGAATGTATATCATATCATAATGTATATCTAAAACTGCCATATATACAATTTACAAAGCTAACATACCGAGATATGGATACTTATTAAATACAATAAAGTGACAGTCACATAAAAAAATAAAGATACCTAACCTTGTGTTAAAGTTTTCTGCAATGGGGCCTATGTTTTTTTGGCCCTTCCAGGGGCCTGCAAGTAGGGTTGCCACCTGTCCAGGATTCACCCGGACAGTCCTGGTTTTGAATGCTGCGTCCGGGTTTCATGGCAGCAGAAACCCGGACACAAGATGTCAGGCAGACAGGGGCAACCAAAATGAAGATAGTGGCTACTGGCCCCCCCACTGAAAATAATCTCAACTGTGATATTTACATATTAATGGGTGGCTCTATTTACATATGAATAAGACACGACTCAATCGCTCTAAAAAATGTCTGGTGTGCATTGATAGGAAAAAAAATTGGAGAAATAAAAGAAACGTTAACAGGGACATTGAGGGGCCCTGAAGATCCATTTTTCCCTTCTCTCCCTATATTTTAGGATTGTAATGAGCAAGGGTCAGCTGAAATGACCAGGATCCTTAAGATTTATTTTCTTTTCCTTCTTTATGCTCAAGCAAGAGCTTAGGGAGAGTCCAGGTGATGTAGAAGCATATTGGAGGCTGTGTGGAGACATAGGTGTCACAGAGGCACACTAGGAGTCTCTAGAAGACACATGACAAACTGGGTAACGCTTGGAACCACAGGGGCATACAGGGTGCGTATGGAGTCACTACATGACACGGGGAGCTTTTGGGTGCTGTTGGAGTCATGGGGCACAGAGGGCAAACTGGAGTCCCTTGATTACACAAGATGCTGTGGGGTGCAGTGGTGCACTAAAGTCAAGGGGTGCACAGGGATGCTAGAAGTCACTAGATGACACTGGATGCTCAAGGGGTGCACAGGTATTGCTTGATGACATTGGATCCTTAGGGGTGCACTGGAGTCACAGGGATCACAGGGGAGCACTTGAGTCACTATATGACATAGAATGCTCAGGGGTTCACTAGAGTCATGGGGAGCACAGGAGCCACTAGATGACACAGAATGCTCAGGGGTTCACTAGATTCATGGGGTGCACAGGAGCCATTAGATGACACTGGATGCTCAGGGGTACACTAGAGTCATGGGGTGCACAGGAACCACTAGATGACACAGAATGCTCTGGGGTGCACTAGAGTCATGGGGTGCACAGGAGCCACTAGATGACACAGAATGCTCAGGGGTTCACTAGAGTCATGGGGTGCACAGGAACCACTAGATGACACAGAATGCTCTGGGGTGCACTAGAGTCATGGGGTGCACAGGGGAGCACAGAAGTCACCAGATGACACTGGTTGCTCAGGGGGTGCACAGGTATTGTTTGATGATATTGGATGTTCAGGGGTGCACTGGAGTCACAAGGAACACAGGGGAGTACTTGAGTCACTAGGTGACATAGAATGTTCAGGGGTTCAATAGTTAAGGGGTGCACAGGAGCCACTAGATGACACAGAATGCTCAGGGGTTCACTAGATTCATGGGGTGCACAGGAGCCACTAGATGACACAGAATGCTCAGGGGTTCACTAGAGTCATGGGGTGCACAGGAGCCACTAGAAGACAGAATGCTCAGGGGTACACTAGAGTCATGGGGTACACAGGAGCCACTAGATGACACAGAACGCTCAGGGGTTCACTAGAGTCATGGGGTGCACAGGAGCCACTAGATGACACAGAATGCTCAGGGGGTGCACAGGTGTTGTTTGATGATATTGGATGTTTAGGGGTGCACTGGAGTCACAAAGAACACAGGGGAGCACTTGATTCCCTAGATGACACCGAATGATCTGGGGTGCACTACAGTCATGGAGTCACCAGATGACATTGGATTCTCAGGGGTGCACCAAGGGGCTGCGATAGGGGACTGAGGAGGCACAGGGATACAGGTGAGGCCCGCAGCAAAGGGGCTCGGATGAAGCATGGCGGTGTTATACACGAACTCCGAGCCATGCATTGCCTCCCAACTTAAGGGGGGCCGATCAGAACATCTCTCTCCTGATTGGTCACAGTGGTACTCCGGAACTGCTGGTAAAACCCAAAAGTGACGTCAGCCATGTGTAGGAGAGGAGCCTTGCTTTGCAGATGGTTTACTTACCCCGGAATGCCCCCAGCCTCCATCTTGTTAGCTAAGGTGACGTCCGTGGACCACACATCGTACTGCCAACGCTTCTGGCCGAGGACCCCTCCGATGACGGTACCCGTATGAACTCCCACACGCATGTCCACGTCTGTTTTGGTCTTCTCTCTGACATATCTGATGGACGGAGAAAGTCTTAGTTATCGGGCTGAACCACATTAATAGAAGATATTTAGATAAAATGATGTATTGCAGTGATGTGTCTTTTACATCTGCCCGGAGTTTAGCTTTGAATATATTTTCTTAGAGGTTAATATGAAATATCACAATATGAATATTATTAGGGATGCGCCGATACCGAGTATAATGCTCCGATCCCCCCCCCCCTGAGGGGCGGGCTTTCCGATGACCGCAATGGCGAACGAACACCGGCCCGTCCGGATTTTATCTTACGAACACGCTACACACCCGCCGAACATCGTACGGCGCTCGGCGGGTTTTTCGAACACGTTCGTAAGTTTAAAGTCGCGCGACCTTACAGTAGTAGAGGTCGCACGGCTTCCACACCTTGCGATAATCGTACGATCGCGGGATTTCCCGCCATTGTGGCAAGGTGTGTGGGCACCCGTACTCTTTAGTAGATCGGTTCCATCGCCTGTAACATGTTACGGTACTTACGATATGGCGTCCACCATGGCCAGACCCATCATGATGGAGGAGTAGGCGTGATCCTCTCTGTAATCGGGGAGGCCGCAGATGCAGTAATAACAGTCGCCTAGGATCTTAATCCTCAGCTGGTGATATTTCTAGAAATAAAAGAAACAAGAACCGCGTATTACTATTCTGGGGGTCAGGGTGAGAACGTCCGAGAGAGGCCAACCATGAGACGACCCAACCAATCCGCCGCTCCCCCCGGCTCCGGAGAACAGAGGGGAGTGGTGGGAATGTGTCACTTCCTGCGCCAATTGTGCTTTATGAGCGTGTCCTCCCTTCTTCCCGATGTGAGGAAGACATGGAGGGGGACGTACAGCCAATTATAGAACACCAAATTCCTGCAGCAAACAGCAAACTTCCTAACCCTCACTGTAACACTAACCCCCTATGTAACCCCAACACTAACCCTCACTGTAAGCCTAACCCTCCCTGTAACCCCAACACTGACCCTCCCTGTAACCCCAACACCGACCCTCCCTGTAACCCCAACACCGACCCTCCCTGTAACCCCAACACCGACCCTCCCTGTAACCCCAACACCGACCCTCCCTGTAACCCCAACACCGACCCTCCCTGTAACCCCAACACCGACCCTCCCTGTAACCCCAACACCGACCCTCCCTGTAACCCCAACACCGACCCTCCCTGTAACCCCAACACCGACCCTCCCTGTAACCCCAACACCGACCCTCCCTGTAACCCCAACACCGACCCTCCCTGTAACCCCAACACCGACCCTCCCTGTAACCCCAACACCGACCCTCCCTGTAACCCCAACACCGACCCTCCCTGTAACCCCAACACCGACCCTCCCTGTAACCCCAACACCGACCCTCCCTGTAACCCCAACACCGACCCTCCCTGTAACCCCAACACCGACCCTCCCTGTAACCCCAACACCGACCCTCCCTGTAACCCCAACACCGACCCTCCCTGTAACCCCAACACCGACCCTCCCTGTAACCCCAACACCGACCCTCCCTGTAACCCCAACACCGACCCTCCCTGTAACCCCAACACCGACCCTCCCTGTAACCCCAACACCGACCCTCCCTGTAACCCCAACACCGACCCTCCCTGTAACCCCAACACCGACCCTCCCTGTAACCCCAACACCGACCCTCCCTGTAACCCCAACACCGACCCTCCCTGTAACCCCAACACCGACCCTCCCTGTAACCCCAACACCGACCCTCCCTGTAACCCCAACACCGACCCTCCCTGTAACCCCAACACCGACCCTCCCTGTAACCCCAACACCGACCCTCCCTGTAACCCCAACACCGACCCTCCCTGTAACCCCAACACCGACCCTCCCTGTAACCCCAACACCGACCCTCCCTGTAACCCCAACACCGACCCTCCCTGTAACCCCAACACCGACCCTCCCTGTAACCCCAACACCGACCCTCCCTGTAACCCCAACACCGACCCTCCCTGTAACCCCAACACCGACCCTCCCTGTAACCCCAACACCGACCCTCCCTGTAACCCCAACACCGACCCTCCCTGTAACCCCAACACCGACCCTCCCTGTAACCCCAACACCGACCCTCCCTGTAACCCCAACACCGACCCTCCCTGTAACCCCAACACCGACCCTCCCTGTAACCCCAACACCGACCCTCCCTGTAACCCCAACACCGACCCTCCCTGTAACCCCAACACCGACCCTCCCTGTAACCCCAACACCGACCCTCCCTGTAACCCCAACACCGACCCTCCCTGTAACCCCAACACCGACCCTCCCTGTAACCCCAACACCGACCCTCCCTGTAACCCCAACACCGACCCTCCCTGTAACCCCAACACCGACCCTCCCTGTAACCCCAACACCGACCCTCCCTGTAACCCCAACACCGACCCTCCCTGTAACCCCAACACCGACCCTCCCTGTAACCCCAACACCGACCCTCCCTGTAACCCCAACACCGACCCTCCCTGTAACCCCAACACCGACCCTCCCTGTAACCCCAACACCGACCCTCCCTGTAACCCCAACACCGACCCTCCCTGTAACCCCAACACCGACCCTCCCTGTAACCCCAACACCGACCCTCCCTGTAACCCCAACACCGACCCTCCCTGTAACCCCAACACCGACCCTCCCTGTAACCCCAACACCGACCCTCCCTGTAACCCCAACACCGACCCTCCCTGTAACCCCAACACCGACCCTCCCTGTAACCCCAACACTAACCCTCCCTGTAATCCTAACACTGACCCTCCCTGTAACCCCAACACTGACCCTCCCTGTACCTTTTACCTTCTCACTATTAGAGTTCGACTCGAACACCTTTTATGGCCAATAGCTTGCATATAAGTCCCCCTAAAGGGGACAATCGCCTACCGCCATAGACCTTCATGGAGTCGAGTTGGATCTTTCTGGATGTTCTAAAGTTCGAATTGGAACCGAACTCGGGTCTGTTCGGCCCATCACTACTCCCTATCTCTTCCTATTGTGCGCCATGTTTGTACCATCCTCTCTCCCCTGGTTGTCCTCCCCCTACGTCGGTCACGTCCATGTGTTGAAGGTTCTCTGTCACCTCCCCGTGGCCTGTGTGCTCACTTACCGCTGCAAGCTTGTCGAATCGCGCAAAAAGCTCATTTAACAGTTTGACCAGCTCCTGAGCGCTGCAGTAAGAGGACAGCTGAGTGAAGCCCACGATGTCTGCAAAGAGTATGCTGCGGGGGAGACAGAGAGAAGGACGGGTCATAGAAGAAAGAGCCAATGACAATAAATATCGGTCGCCCGATTTGGCAATAACCGGCCATTTTTTATTTATTTTCCTTTTTTTAGCATTTTAACATATTTTAATACGCAGCCGACAGGTGAAGCTCCGGCTTTGTGTTCATATTGCCAGGCCCAAGTCAAGCAAGTTCACAAATAAAACCAGCTTTTCCTTTGCTTCTGCCGTCCCTGGGGATCTGTAATGGAGTGTTCGTATAACTATCGGGGCTGCAACCTGACAAAGCTGCTGGCCTGTATCTTCCGGCATCTTCTATACATCAAACAATTATGGGTTACTGTTCATTGTCACATTTGCTGTTTATCGACTAGGCCTGACAGCCTGTGTGAGAAATCTAATTGGTTGCTACGGGTTACCGTACTCCCTTACATTACCTGTTTACCAACTAGGCCTTACAGCTTGTGTGAGAGATCTGATTTGTTGCTATTGGTTACTGTACACTCTCACGTCTCCTGTTTACTGAGTAGGCCTGACAGCCTCTGTGAGAAGTCTAATTGGTTGCTATGGGTTACTGTACTCTCTTATATTTCCTGTTTACCGACTAGGCATGACAGCCTGTGTGAGGGATCTGATTGGTTGCTATGGGTTACTAGACACTCATGTCCCCTGTTTACTGACTAGGCCTGACAGCCTCTGTGAGAAGTCTAATTGGTTGCCATGGGTTACTGTACTCTCTTATATTTCCTGTTTACCAATTAGGCCTTACAGCCTGTGTGAGAGATCTGATTTGTTGCTATTGGTTACCGTACACTTTCACATCTCCTGTTTACTGAGTATGCCTGCCAGCCTCTGTGAGAAGCCTAATTGGTTGCTATGGGTTACTGTACTCTCTTATACTTCCTGTTTACCGACTAGGCCTGACAGCTTGTGTGAGGGATCTGATTGGTTGCTATGACAGCCTGTGTGAGGGATCTGATTGGTTTGCTATGACAGCCTGTGTGAGGGATCTGATTGGTTTGCTATGACAGCCTGTGTGAGGGATCTGATTGGTTTGCTATGACAGCCTGTGTGAGGGATCTGATTGGTTTGCTATGGGTTATTGTACACCTTCACGTCTCCTGTTTACCGACTAGGCCTGGTTGCTACGTGAGGCCTAGCTGAGGCGTACCTGACGTTTTCATGGCGGTACATGTACATGGTGTTGAACTGCTGGAGCTCCTTCTGCTGCTGGTCCTTCTTCATGTCTTTCAGCATCTCATCAGCGATGTGTTTGGGAAGAATGGAGAGGAGGAGTCTCTCCTGGAAGAGAAGAAATAAACAGGAGAGCTGCGGTTAGAGCGACATGTTCTGCTCGTGTTCTAGGAAATTCTAGCACGTGGCTGGACGGATGACGTCCCCGGCCCGCCGGAACGACCAGGCTGTAAAATCAAAATGAGTCACCCCCACCGCTCTGATGGAAGGCCGCCATCCCTCACGCTTCTGCTCCGGAACGCGCTAATCCTCTAAGCGTCGTGACGGATGGACGCAGGAAGGAAACCAGGCTTAAAGGATACGTGCACTTTTAAAACAAAGGGCATTTACCCTTTATGCCCCTTTCCCCTGAATTACCCCAACCCTCCCCCTTCACAGACGCACACTTACCTTGATCCAGCGGCCGCAATTTGTTTGTTTGTTTACATGCAGCGCTGCAAGTCTGAGCATTAGTGCTCCATATTCCTCAATAGGCCGAGTCTGTGACCCGAGGCCATGGATGTCAATGGGGCATTAATGCGCAGACGCAGCCGTTGAGTGGAAGTAAACAAACAGTGGAGGCGGGGCCATGGGGTCGAGGTAAATATACATCTGTGGAAAGGGAAGAAGGATAGGTGCACTTTGCTTGTTTAAAGCGGGCTTTAAAGTGGACCTGTCATCAGATATATATTCTCCTTGCTCAGTAATGTGTCAGGGTAACACTTCCAGGTATCTAATACCCCTCACAGCGATCACAGTACATTCGCTCTGTGCAAATATTAGCCAAAACGAACGTTCTTTAGTTGTATTTTCCAACGTTTCTTCATGTAATACCACATTGTGGCCACTATGTGGCGCCGAGGAGCATAGAATATATATATACTCATTTCCTGTGCTCCTATAGTGCCATCTAATGGCCACCATGTGATATTACATGGAATCAAGTTTGTTTTGGTTAATATTCACACAGAGTGAACGTTCACAGATATTTGCAGGGTGAACGGCCCAGTGCACTGTTTATAAATAGACCCCCTAAGTGTCCCCGTTGGGTATCTAAACCCGTGAAAAAAGAAAATGTATTATACTGCAGCTTAAGTGTCCCTAGACCAGGGGTGGGCAACCTGGGCACACTTGCTGTGGTGGAACTACAAATCCCGTGAGGCCTTGCAAGACTTTGACAGGCACAGACAGAGTCATGGTGGGATTCGTAGTTTTACTGCGGCTAGAGTGCCGGGGTTGCCTACCCCTGGACTAGATCTGGCGGCTGCATTCGTTTTCTATATTTTATGCTTTTTTGCTCTTTTTTCTAACTTCCTGTCTTAGGGTGACAACGCTCATTCACTGCACTGTATCTATGGAGGAGCAGCGTTGTCACCCCAGGACAGGACTACAGAGCTCTTTCTCCTCATCTCCATAACATAGGGGAGAGTCGTTCTGTAGTCCGCTGAGAGAACGCAGACAACGTCGCTTTAGATTCAGTGCAGTGTTGTTGACTCAGCAGAGGAAGTTTAGTTGCTTGTTAGGGTTACCATATTGGTAGGCAACCCCCAGCTGTTGTGGAACTACAAGTCCCATGAGGCATTACAAGACTCTGACAGCCACATGCACGACTCCCAGAGGCATGATGGGATTTGTTGTTTCAACACAGCCGGGGACGCAGTTGGCTATCCCTCTATTTTCGGTTTGGCCAGCAGGTGTCGCTGTTGTCACTTCCTCCAGTGCTGGCGCCTCGCAGTACACAGAGCACCTGGGCCCCTGTTTGTACAAACACACCTGTTCCTGCTCATTCCATCGGGGGGACGGCATTCTCGGTGCGCAGTACAGAACGTGGCTGCGTCTTTACCCGCAATACAAAGAGCCGGACTATGCAGGCGATACTCAGCTGTGAGATCCGTGCAATGTGAAAATGCCCCGAAATCTCATAAAACCCCAAAACACCCGCTGTGCCCATTATGAGGGGTTCCCACCATCCCTGTGCTGAGTTCCCGGGTCTGTACACCGCTGTGCCCATTATGAGGAGCTCCCACCATCCCTGACTCATCTCTCCTTGGGCCAGGCCCAGAATCTTCCACAGGCCTCGCCAGGGAGCCCCCACCGGGGTCCTCCCCAGGATCCAGCATCTCTCCTGGGGGCAGAGAAGCAACTCTAGCCCCCGGTCTCTGGAAGCTCACGAGCTAAGGAACCAGCAACCTCACACCTCGCTGTCAGCGAGCAGAATGGCAGTTTCCCACCATCCCTGCGCTGAGTTCCCGGGTCTGTACACCCGCTGTGCCGATTATGAGGGGTTCCCACCATCTGCAGCATGACATGTGGGTGTTACCTATGCAAATACAGCCTGTGTAGGAACGCCCACTCCTCCAGACTGACACCCGCCCATCAAGGCATATTGATATTTGCATAACTCCTCCCAAGAGCCCGCCCACTGCATCAGGGAGAGCTTTCTTCTTACTGTGGAGAGATCTCTCACTTCCTGCTGTCTCACGAATACAGGAAGTGAAGGAAAATCTCACCAATAGGACACAGGCAACTAAAAAAAAACGCCTGACAAGGGACACAAGCGATCCCTACAGCAGTTAACAACAACAAAAAGAAAAGGATGTATTTTCTCTCAGCACGGAGCCCTTCCCCCACGAATCCGGCCCCCCAAAAAATGAGGAGTCTTATCCGAATGATAAAAAAGATGGATTCCAGCCCGACGTCGGCAGTCTAAGGAGAGCGCGCAATCTCGGCTATTATCAACATCATTATCCTCTAAGTGTATCCGGACGGCTAAACATGAACACAATAATGTCATTAGGATCTGAAATAGCCTCGCAGAGCAATCAAAATATTCCCACTGCAGGCAGCCCTGGTTACAGGTCC